AACTTTTTTTTAATCTTTCAATTATATTATTATCTTTTACTTTTTAACTTTTCTAAATAATTTTTATCCTATCATTTTTATAATTTTTGGAATTTTTTATCACCTTTTTATTTTAATTATTATTTTCTACTTATTTTTTCTTAATTCTTATTTATTTTCTAATTTTTCTATCAATTTAATTTTTTTTTATTAAACTTTTTTTCACTTAACTTTATTGCTATCACGCAGGAGCCAACAAGCCCCTGTGTGCTAGCATTTACAGGTGACAGGTTCTCTCTATTGAACCTGTCACCTCCAATAGAGGAGTTTGAGCACAGTACAGTGCTGGAACTCCTGTGACAGCTGAGACGGGAAGGCCCAAAGCAGAACTAAATGTAGAAAACAAATACTGGCCCGGCGCCCGGAAGTTCATGTCCCGTGCGTCGGGCAACAGGAATCCCTGCCGGCCCTCAACTCCCTGCCACCCCATGGCCGGGCCTCGGTTGGCCTTGTGGGAAATCCAGCCCTGGACATGCCTTCCTGGTGGAGACTACGAGCGGTCATGTGACACACATTGCTCAGGGTTTGGTCCACAGTTGTCACCATTAGGATTGGGTCCAGAGCAATATTGCTATTTTGTTGTGTGCGATGTTGAAGTACATTTGTTTCCTTTCACGTATAATAATTTTTTGGAGGATGAAGATTTTCGGGGAGTGAAAACCAAAAACAATAAATAAAATAAAAGCAGATCTGACACTGTGATTGGCGGTTCTCTGCGGCCTTCAGTTCACTTCCTAAAATTGTATTATTTTTCTCTTTATTTTACCAGAATATAACTTTTTTTTACATTGTAGAAGAAGAATAGACGCTCGGCGTCTGTAACCTGATCCCCCCAGTAACATAACATGTCAGCCGTTACCTCTGGTTATGATTTGTATCCTCTCTATTGACAAAATATCTGTACTGGGCCTAACTGGTATTGCTCGGACCCGTGCTGGTGGATCCTCGCCAGGCTGGATAGGGGAAGTGCAGGAGAACGGTGCACGCCGACTCATCAAACTACAGAAAGAAGCGAGGCATTATGGGAAATTAAAGTCTATAAGCGACCCCCTCTGGGTGATCCGCGTACATTGCGGGTTGTAAGGAAACATTGTGGCACATTCCAATCTTTTTCTGTTCTGAAGAAACAGATGTTTGTTTCACAGTATCCATTCCAGACTGATTCCTGAATGGGAGGGGACTGATTCCTGAATGGGAGGGGTCTGATTCCTGGATGGGAGGGGACTGATTCCTGAATGGGAGGGGCCTGATTCCTGGATGGGAGGGGACTGATTCCTGAATGGGAGGCAGACTGAATCCTGAATGGGAGGGGACTGATTCCTGAATGGGAGGGGACTGATTCCTGAATGGGAGGGGACTGATTCCTGAATGGGAGGGGCCTGATTCCTGGTTGGGAGGGGACTGATTCCTGAATGGGAGGGGGACTGAATCCTGAATGAGAGGGAATAATTCCTGAATGGGAGGGGACTGATTCCTAAATGGGAGGGGTCTTATTCCTGCATGGGAGGGGACTGATTCCTGAATGGGAGGGGACTGATTCCTGAATGAGAGGGAATAATTCATGAGTGGGAGGGGACTGATTACTGAATGGGAGGGGCCTGATTGCTGAATGGAAGGGGACTAATTGCTGAATGAGAGGGAATAATTCACAAATGGGAGGGGCCTGATTACTAATAAGAAGGCCTGATTCCTAAATGGGGGCTCCGGATTCCTGAATGGGAGGGTCTGATTTCTGAATTGGAGGGAATGATTCCTGAGTGGGAGGGTCTGAATCCTGAAAGGGGGAATCTAATTCCTGAATGGGAGGGTCTGATTCCTGAATGGGAGGGTCTGATTCCTGAATGGGAGGGTGTAATTCCTGAATGGTAGTGAATGATTTCTGAATGGGAGGGGTCTGATTCCTGAATGGGAGGGGTCTGATTCCTGATTTGGAGGGTCTGATTCCTGAAGGGGAGGGTCTGATTCCTGATTGGGAGGGGTCTGATTTCTGAATGGGAGGGTCTGATTCCAGATTGAGAGGGGTATGATTCCTGATTGGGAGGGTCTGATTCCTGAATGGGAGGGTCTGATTCCTGAATGGGAGGGTCAGGTTCGTTATAACCACCTGCTGCACTTTTAGTGTTCTAATGAGGAAAGTTGCAATGTCGGCATCCCTTTGGGAATAGTAATCCGTAGGGAGTATCTCACCAAGGACATTTCTGTGGCAGGGGATGCCTAATCTCTTAGTTGTATGTAACCACAGACTTGTGGGGAAATCCGAGAGTCAGTCACACAAGCAGGAAATGCTGCCATCTTGGATTTGTCAGCTGTGCCGCCTCCCTACTGCGCAAGATTCGCACCGAAGGGAGACTGGTTGGCCCTGTAGCCTCCTGTCCCAGGAGGCTGTGGGCAGGAGGACCAAGGGGACGTCATCCTCGACTAGGCCAGGAAATAGGAGGGAGAACAGCCAAAAACAATCAACCTTTTTAATCCGCAGCTTTTAAGTGCAACGCCATTCATTTTGAACACGCCCCCAACGCACCTCGCCAGCACGATGCACTTGAATTTAGTGCACCACAATGCACAGATGTGAACCATTTGTGCATTGTGGTGCGCTCTGTTGTGAAAAAAAAGTTGTCACACAACACACATTAACGCACAAAATACTGGAAGTTATCGTGCATGAAATGAACAATGGTTGGAAAGCCTAACCGCACTCAAAACTTTGCTTTGGACAGAATGGGGCGATTTCTTCTCACTTCCTGCCGTGTCTCTGGGACAGGAAGTGAAGAGAAGTCTCACCAATGATGCACACAGAAAATAAATAAATATGTGAGAGGTTCAAACTATGTTCTACTCGATTCAAATCTAAAAAAAATTAACTGCATGAAAAATGTATTCAATGACAACACAATTAAAAGCACAACTAGGTAAATCTAATGCAAATAAGTGTATTCAAATCTCATGACCACAAATTTACACAATAAAAACTTTAATGTTCACATAACAATCTATAAACCTAATGTAATGTAACATTGAGGAGCTTTGTTAAAATGCAAGTACATATGTTGTGCAACAAGTCCCCAAAGACCTTGCCCTCTAAAGGCCTGTGCACATCAGAAGAGCCTGGCTGGCGTTACCATGGAAACACCCAGCTAGCTCAGAAACGCCTCCGCAGACGGCTACTGATCACGTGGAGGAGTTTTGTCCCAGCTCGCCTCCCGTACTGGGTGTACAAAGATGGCGGCGCAGGACAGCGATGGCGAGGAGGACTTTGTCACCTATGGGAAGCCACTGGAGCCGTACGAAGAGGGTAAGAAGAAAGTCAGAAATGCCCTGCTACGCGTGGGCGCCACTAGGGGGCTCTGAGGGGCATAATTCGCGGGGTAAAAGAGAGCCAGTATTTGCTATTGCGGAACTTATTAGGTATCCTGGAGTCCCAGGGCCTGGTCAGGACTACAAATCCCAGCATGCAACGCTAGTGTCTGGCTAAAATACTCTAGCTTGCTGCTGGCAGGGCATGCTGGGACTTGTAGTTCTAAGCTAGCTTTGCAGGGACACAAACTTGTATACAACTTCTTTTTTTTTTAACCTGTCACTGCAACATTGTAAACTTCCTGCACATTTCTCATACCTTTTTATAAATCAATATTTTTATCTTTTACAGGAGAAAAGCCTAAAAAGCCGACACCACTGCACGAGCAGACTGTCAAAGATGAAAAGGGACGATACAAGCGCTTCCATGGCGCCTTCACTGGTGGATTTTCCGCCGGCTATTTTAACTCCGTTGGCTCTAAGGAAGGTAAATTGTCAAAGTGTCTGATCAGGGCAGCGGATGATACTCCCATCACCCCACATGCACATTTACCTTAGATTGCAAGCTCTTTAAGGGCTGGGACTGATGTGAATGTGCAACTATGTAAAGCACTGTGTAAATTGTCGGCGCAATATAAATACCTGTAATAATGAAATTATATTTATTGTTAAATAATAAAAGTATATTGATAGTGCTGACGGTTTCCACATACTGTTCATTCACAGCACTCTCTGCCCTCAAGGAGTGTGCAATCTGAGGTCCCCATCGCACCTACTAGGGCCACTTTGGACAGGAGCCTATTACCCTACCATCAGGAAACCCACGCAAGCGCAGGAAGAACATGCAGACTCCATGCAGATGGTGTCCTGGTTGGTATTTGAATGAGGACCCCAGTGCTGCAAGGCAATATTGCTAACCTCTGAGTCACTCAGCTGCACATCTGCTGCTTCTAGCACACTGTCAGAAGCTGTGCACACTGCAGCCTTCCCTCTCTGATGCGTTTTACCCTCCCACCAGCTTGGTCAGTCTGTAGCCAAGCGCACAAGATGGCAAAATGAGAAGAGAAGTCTCAGGGGGGCTGCAGTGTGCCCTGTTCCTTCTTAATAAAGCTGTATGAAAAACAGAGGTCATAGGGAGTGCAGCTGGCTTCTCTTCCTGGTTCTGCAGGGCATGGCTCGGCTCTTCTCGGCCAGCACCTGGGTATCCTGAGTCCGCGGATGTGCAATGGAGCGCTGACACATGTGCAAACTTTAGGCTTGCTTGAAAATTTGACAGCTCCTGGAGAATCGATTCCCTAATACAGCCCCCTCCCTCCTTACGCATCATAACCCTCTGCTCTTCTGGAAGTGTCTATTTACTCCCTGTGCTGACCAGCTCCTCCACGCCTCACCTCCCTCCATAATCTTTTATGGAGCTACTGGGAGAGGAGCGTAGGGGAATACTGTGTGACGGCTCTGGGGCTGTTGACATCACTTCCAAAGATGGCGGCATGCGTCTGCAGTTCCAGGGCTTTTGGATGTCTACCCCAAGGAGGTTTTTACAGGTAAATGACATGCATTAAAGGGGAACTATGGGGTCAGTGCTTTTCCCCATAGTTCTCCTCATGGTCACGGGAGGACATAAACTAGCGTCCTCCCGTCACCCTAAGCTCAGTATACCGCGAGCTACAGCTATATACTGAGACCGCCGCAGCTGAGATCCGCCCAGCTGCGTGATTGACAGCTGGCTCTGCCTATCTGGAGGCAGAGCCAGCTGTACCCGCCCCATTCGTTCCTCCTGTCAGCGCTGGAGGATCGGACAGGGGAGGGATAAATACGTTAAATGCACATATAATGTTATGGGGAGTTTGTTTAATAAAATGAATGGTATGGCGACAGGGTCTCTTTTAATAACTGCCTGTGTCTGAAGCATCATGTTTACAGGCGACTTTTGATTGACTATTTTAATGGTCTTCCAATGGGGGGAGCTTCTCCAGCCCACTGCTAAGGACACCTAGTCCACAAGTAAATTTTAGGTTTAGCTTTCAAAGAAGAGGTGAAGGTGTATGTAATTATATTGTGAAGTGCATTAAATCCAATTAATTATTTGTTCTCCATCTGTCATCTTTGTGTTTTAGGATGGGCCCCTGCCACGTTTTTGTCATCTCGACATGGAAGGTCGGAACAACATGCCCGTCGACCCGAGGATTTCATGGATGAGGAGGTAAAATGACTTGTGCATTGTCGTCTGGTATTGCGCACAGATGACAAATACCAGCGGAACTGGTGGACTGACAGAATCGTATAGAAAATAATGGGAATTCCCATGTAAGTTGTCACCAGAACAGGAGTCCTTATTGGAAGATTTTCCCTATAAAAGAAAAAAGATGGTTGAAATCCCTCTGCACCACCATGGGGCAGCACTCCTGTAAAAATAAAAAACCTCTTTTATTCTGAAAATGTGTACATTTTCTTACAGGATCTCGGTGAGTTTGGAATTGCGCCAAAGGAGATCCTGACAACGGATGATTTTGCTTCAAAAACCAAAGACAAAGTTCGGGAGAAGGCTAGAGAGCTGGCGGCGGTCACTGCGCCTATACCAGGGGCGACCATGGAAGTTGTTCACAAGCATTTTAAATCATTTTGGATGGAGTGGACAAGGGTTGGACACTCTGCTAGGCTTTTTTTGTTCCCATCTGTGTGTACTACATAGGTGGAGTGTTTCCCTTCCTTTCCTGATGACTTTGGTCATAGAGGTGGGAGATCTATCCAGTGGAGATAATATCTGCAACAATAAAAGAAATGTATCCGTGTAAAGGAAAATAAAAGGGTTTATTCCTTCCTGGCCCCCGTCTTCTCCCCGAGGCACCTAGGAGAAGATGAAGTCACACTCCTTCCAGCTAGATGCTGGGGCATGCAGAGCAGACAAATTATCATGAGAATACAAATCTCCTTATTATGCGTAGGTGTAAAACGTACCTGTAAAAGTTAGATCTATACTTGCCTTACCCCGTCTTATCACTGGGTGTTATGTCACCTTCCTTCCCGGGAAGATCCTTTTGAAATGCAGAGCTCACAGAATCTCGCAAGAAGATGCTCCAGTCACTTTGCAGGGGCGTCATCTGCCAATATTTCATCTGCTCTGTATTCCCCAGGATCTAGCTAGGAGTGTGACACCATCCTTCATCCCCCAGACGGAAGATAGGGGGTGAGGTAAGAATAAACCCTAAATGTACTTTTCCTTACAGATCCTTTCATTTCATACCTACTAATAGGAGGCCTTTTGTGAAGTTGGGGGGAGGGGGGAGGCCTGTTAGCATAAACAAACCTTACTGCAAGGTCTTTAATCAGCATCTTATGGCGGGAGAATTAGAGTGTAGTAATACGAAGTATAATTTCTTCTCCTCTCCTCAGGATCACGGTGGGTGTACAGCTATTGCGGCAGATGGGATGGAAAGAGGGACAAGGCGTGGGTCCGAGGACCAAGAGGAAAGTGCGGAAGCAGGGATCTGGTGGGTGCCATTTTTAAGCCTTAGTAAATACTGAATTAAACCGCTCTGTTTGTTCATCTGAAATCTGTATGTCTAAATGGCTCCATAATGTGTAAGGCCTCATTCACACAGCTAAGTGTCGGCCTGTACAGATCTGTGCGACGTGCACAGCGGTATCAGGTTATTTCCGGGAAGGACAGCTGCTACGTGTGATTGTACACAGCAGCCTGTTCTTCTTCTCTATTTGGGTACGCAGCTGTACGCTCGCCCGAGCTGCACATCTGTGTGGGTGTCTGTACTCGGACGCAGACAGGATGGATCCTGTCTGCGTCTGAGCACGGACACCTGCAAGGGTGAGCGTAGGGTGGCATACGGTCGCGTACTCCCATAGAGAAAAACAGGCTGCTGCGTGCAATTGCACGCAGTAGCTGTCCTTCCTGGAAATAACCCGATACGCGTAGCTGTGTGAATGAGACCTAAAAGAATAAACAAATATACATTCATTACATAACCTAAATGTAACCTTTTTTTTATGTTCTAAATTGCTCCGCCCTTTCTGTAAGAAACATGCCTCTGTTCTGTCAAGGATTAGTCCCTGTGTGTGACCCTTCCTTTCTCTTGCTGTGTCAAAGCCAAGCAGGTCTAAGCCAGGAAAAACGATGCAGTGGGAGCTTTCCCTGCTCTGCTTCTGCTGGGATAGTGCAGTCAGTGTTATGTAGAGGAGGCTACGCCCTTTGCTGTCCATGAACCAATGTTCAATTTGTCGGGTGCTGTGCTGTCATTGGTTTATGGGATTCTGGGTGTAATTCTTAAAAAGGTGAACTATGAGGTGAGTGATTTTCACTCAGCCTCATAGTTCTAGCCGACCTGCGACAATGAGACAGTCACAGGTCGGCTCAGTAGATCGGGAGGTGAGCGAACACATAGCGGCGTTCGCTCACCTCTCGATCCTGTCACAGCTCTCTGCCGTGACAGGGGAGGGGCTGGATTCTCCGCTCCGATCCTCCAGCGCTGACTGGCGGAACGGACAGGGGAGGGGGCGGGTACAGCTGGCTCTGACTCTAGATAGGCAGAGCCAGCTGTCACTCACGCAGCTGGGTGGATGCAGACATAATTGTCGGGATCCTTTCCGGCTGCGGCGTCTTAGTATACCGTGAGCTGTAGCTCGCGGTATACTGAGCTTTGGGTGACGGGAGGATGCTAGTTTGTGTGCTCCCGTTACCCTTAGGAGAACTATGGGGAAAAGCCCTAACCCCATAGTTCTCCTTTTAAAGGTTGAAGCTACATGCACCCAGGACTGGGGGTAACCAGGGAGCTCTAAAGAGTATTTAATAAGAGGGAAAACCTGTTATGAGGGAACAAGGTTCACTTATAGCCATGACTGCACCTCCTGTACAGTGTGCACAGCAAGTTGCACACCTTTGACTGTACTTGGTGTTAACAGCCCATTAGTAGCAGTCACAATGAAGGTGCTGAACTGATTTCCTTTCAGCCGTTAAACACTGTCCCTTTACAGTGATCATCTAACAAAGCGGTGTTGCGTAGCTGCACCTCCCTGTACTCTTTTCATAGCAGAGCAACCGGTGCTCGTGCGACGTGGGTGGCGTTCTCTCCAGCATAACACAAGCCTCGCCCCATGGACACTCTTTTTGAACTTGTAGTTTGAAGGGAGCTTGTTGGCAGTCCGAAACACAAGCACGGTTCCCTCTTTTAAAGCCGAACTCTAGGAAGATGACAAATAAGCAAATGAATGCAGCTCTGCAATCTTTACTACAGGTGAAACTCGAATAATTAGAATATCGTGCAAAGTTCATTTATTTCACTAATGCAACTTATGCGGTGAAACTAATATATGAGAGAGACTCATTACATGCAAAGCTAGATAGTTCCAGCCGTGATTTGTCATCATTGTGATGATTATGGCTTACAGCTCATGAAAACCCCAAGAACCCCAAATGCACAACCTCAAAAAAGTAGATTATTACATGCAATCAATAAAACAAGGATTGTACATAGAACAATATCGGACCTCTGAAAAGTACAAGCATGCATATGTACTCAGTACTTGGTTTGGGCCCCTTTTGCAGCACTTACTGCAATTACTTTTGCACGATATTCTAATTATTCGAGTTTCACCTGTATATCATATGTATGGGCCAACCTCTGGCGGTCCACTTGTTTCTACACCTTATCTGGGCTCTATGGTGGAGCCGTCCAGCATCTCTGCTGCTATAAAGAGAAGGCATCAGCGTTTAGTAGTTTTTACTAGACAGTTACAGGCCTGTAAAGCATATCAACAGTATACAATTTCATTGTAACACTGTTGTGCGTTTGCGGGGGTTGACCCTTCCCTTGTTGTAGACATACAGGAGTCCCTGCACTGATTCATTCTTTATATACTCTGTCATCCTCAACTACGGCACTGGCACTGCTCAAACACGACACCTCTAAAGCAAATATCCATGCACAGTGAAAGTTCCTTTTATGCGTCCATGCCCTCGCCAGATGTGTCCGATACAAACAGACACAGATGATTGATTGTCCTAAAGTGCATTTATCCTTTTTTTTTGACCTAATCTAACCCACTCTCACCCTCGACAGATGCATACTTACCACGATCATACGGCACGCTGTTTAGCTGGTTGTTAAAGGGTTTCTAAACCATCACGTTTTTTTGCATATACACGGAGTGGCCAGATTATTATGACCACCTGACGTTTGTAGGCAAATTAGCTATAATTTGGCGCTGAAGTTGCTAGAGGGCCAGACCATTATAAATAGGGAAGCGGGTTGGTTACCACGACAGTAGAAGTGATTTGTTTCTGAAGATACGGGGAAACAACGCGATTTAACAGCCTTTGAGCGTGGGATGATTGTTGGCGCTCGGAGCCATGGAGCGAGTATCAGCAAAACAGCAGAATTCGTTAAATGTTCAAGAGCAGCTGTTGTTAAAGCGTTTAAAGACCGGACTGTCAGTCGAAAATCTGGGTCTGAACGTGCGAATTGTGGCCGTCAGCGACTAGTCAATGTTAGGGCAGAACGGGGGAGGGGCAAGACTGGTACAAGACAACAGAAGGGCAACAGTGCCGTGTCAGATTCCTCGCATCACCTTTCACCATCTCGTGGAGTCACCAGGCGGCCCAACCAAGTACTGATGGGGTGGTCATAATAATCTGGCCACTCAGTGTATATATAAGGCTAGCAAGCAGTAGATATATGCAAGAAGTTTAAACAAAAAAAAACAACTTTACCTGTGTCTTTCCCCGCGCGCTCCCGTCCGAAGATGTGAACATTCTCGGGCGGCCGCAAAGCACCTTGGGGCGGGCGCATGCGCAGTTCACATTTTCGGCCGGGACGCGAGGAGAGACACAAGGTAAGTCTATGGACAGCGTGCACCCGCATGCAGACACCGTGGGACAGGAAGTGCCAGCAAGGACAGAGGAGTCAGCGCTGGATCTGAGACCCGCCGCAGCGCTAGAGAGAAGGCTGAAAACTACAGGAAAGAAGAAGAAGATGATGGGATTAAGAGACATCATTTAAGGTAAGTGCTTTAATTAACGTTGGGGTGAGAGACATTTGTTTTTGCTTTTAATGTCACTTTAACATACAGCGCTGCAAGTCTTCGCTGTCCTGGCTTTGTTGGCACATTACAGCCCCATAGACTTTTATGTGGCTGTGTCCCAATGCCAGAGACAATCTGGAGACGTTTATGGAATGCACAGTCACGGCCAGTACAGTTCTTGCGCCGCTGGATGTATAGTATGTAATATATATAGTAAACTTTGTATTTGCTTTTATATTTCAGAATCCAGCAGGAAAGTCTATGGCTGTGTGATGCCCCCAACAGGTTCTGAAGGATCCGAGGTAATGTTACAGATAAGCTGAATATTCTTCATAATAATAATATTATCATCATTATTATTATTACATTTAAACACGCACTGTATACAGCAGTAGTTACGAGGTATAGGGGGCCTCAACTGTGGCCCCCGACATCCCCAAGGTGTGCACATATTGTTCATTATTTGTAATGCTAGAGAGTTTTTTGACTGGAGACATGCTGCAGAAGACAATGTGAAACTAGGGACATGTTACATGAGGCAAGTAGAGACTGCCCTTTACAAACCAGTGTTCCTACTACAGACCGTTGAGGTCACATTACATGCCAGAGGGCCAAATTTGGTGCCTAGGCCTCACGTTGGGCACTAGGGGTATAAAGTATATAAATCCTTTTTTTTTTTTTTTTTTTTTTTTTTTTTTTATAGATATAACCTTGGAAATTGCAGAATGATCATATTAAAAAGTTTATGCTGCTTATATTATAATGCTCTATTTTGTTTTACTATGGCATATTAATATTTCATTGGCTGTATAAATTCATATTGTGTCATTGTGTTTTATATGTTCTTTGATAGTGTTTGGTTTCATCAATCAGGGTTTTATAGTGTGCAATTTTTTTTCTAATAGGTCTTTAGAGTTTATGCTGTACATATGAGATCAGACCTATGAATCGGTAATAAAGGGATAAAGGATTTGATGAGTTCTGTCGCCACAGTGTCACTTCTGAACTAACCCCAGCCTGTAAGAAGGTCTATATCAGGGGTCGGCAACCTTTTCCATATTAAGTGTCAGTATACAAGCATCAGACAACCGGGGTGCCAGTGGACAGTAGCATGCTGTAGACCTCAGATCAGCCCCAGTTCCTGCACCTTCACACTTCAGATCAGCCCCAATTCCTCCTGCACCTTCACATCTTGGATCAGCCCCAGTTCCTGCACCTTCATACCCCAGACCAGTTCCTGCACCTTCATACCTCAGACCAGTTCCTGCACCTTCATACCTCAGACCAGTTCCTGCACCTTCACACCTCAGACCAGCCCCAGTTCCTGCACCTTTACACCTCATATCAGCCCCAGTTCCTGCACCTTTACATCCCAGATTAGCCCCAAACCTTGTACCATCAGATTTTACCTCAATCCCCACTTCTGCACCTCCATACCTCATATTAACTCCAATCCCTGCATCTTCATACCTCAGATCAGCCCCAATTCCTGCAGCATCAGAAACACAGGGGTTTAACATTCATACTTGCCACAGCTAACTCTACTTTGTGAACTTGTCCTTTTTTAAAAGCTGTGAAGTTACCTGATCTCTCTGTGGCTTTCACCCTAGGATGAAGAAGACGAATACCTACCTGACAATGTGACATTTGCACCCAAAGATGTGACTCCCATTGATTTCACCGTAAAGGACAATGTCCGTGGCCTCGGTTACCGGGGGTTGGATCCTCGCCAGGCCTTGTTCGGATCTCTGGACTCTCAGGTTAATCTGTTCGGTGACGGCTCTGATCGGATGTTCAGTACACTGGGAGATGTGCGGCACAGCAAAGGAAGAAAAGTCGGGATTTCAGGACAGGTGCCCCCTTATTATCATACTTGCTGCATCAGTAACGACTAATGTTTTGCTCATACTATGGCTTGCATCCAGATTAATGTCTTAATGCTCAACTCCTGGGCAGCCAAATACACAGATGCTTTTTTTTTTTTCAAAAATGTTTTATTAACTTTTAGCAATCTTTACATTTCTAAAACAAACGTCATCACTTCAAAGTAATAATTATGCCACGGCCACGCAGTGGTTTAATTCCATCCATAACGATCCATCAAGGAACATATGCATAGTAGATGGAGCACTCTGAACAATACTAACAGTACTCCCACTATAAACAAGTATTCAGACAGTGTAATCAAGCAGTACTCGTATTACTCCAAGACCTGCCTCTCAGAGAGGCCATCAGTCTTGGCCTAGCTGCAGGACCCCCAAGGCATTCGACAAGTCATTGGTCAAGTACCATTTAGTGTAGCGGAAGGGCTTGATGATTTGGTGGATGTCCTCTACAGAGTAAGAACTACTAATAAAATACCTCCAACGCGATAGGAAAGGCGTAGAACGGGTATCTTTTATGCATTTCTGCATCCAGTTTGTCCTTATTCATCAGGAGTTTAAGATCCATAGTAATCTCTGTTGTCGTTGGGGCCAGTGGAGAGTTCCAGTGCCTCATTATAAACCGTCTAGCGGTCAGAAGGAATAGATTTGCCCAGTCCATGCGCTGTCCCCGCGACGGTCCCCGACCCTCTCCCGAAGGCGCCAGGAAACCGATATAGACAAAGGGCCGGATCCAGATCCGGTTGCCAGGAGGAGATGCTTTTTTGACTGCTAAAGGGTTTATGTATCTGTCTATCCAGTCCTAAGATTTGCATGGCTCTGCCACACACAGCACTGTTTGGCAGGGCAGGAGATCAGATTTTTCTCTGCTTCTGTTCAGTAACATTTAAAGGGTCCTGTCCCTCCCGGGTTTGTCACTGGATCGTGTAAGGAAAAGCAGCAGCCTAACCAGCTCATCTCTCTCACTCTGATCTCTCCTCCTTGTTAGTACATGTTCTCTGCAGCACAATGGATTGCATCCTTATGCTGTTTCCCCCTCCAGCACTTTTTTCAGGCTAAGGACCATTTCTGCAAGTACAGAAAACATCTGTTGATCCTGCTGCAAATGCAGTGTCCTTGTCACTTCCTATGACATGAAAGGAAAGTGTCAGCACCAATTCAGAGATGATTGGAGGATCTACAGCAGAGTGATACACAAATAAGAGACATTTTTAAGATTGAACTCCTGAGTTTAGTGTCACTTAAAGGAGAACTATGAGGGGAGTGCTTTTCAATCTGAGCCGACCTGTGACAATGAGACTGTCACAGGTCGGCTCAGTAGATCGGGAGGTGAGCGAACGCATACCGGCGCTCGCTCACTTCTCGATCCTGTGCCGGCAGAGAACCAACCAAAGGACCAAACGTTTTGCTATCTTAAAAGGACTGGAGTGCTGGTGACATTTCTAAAATTTTTCTGACATTCGCGGCGCCATCCGCAGTCACTGCGAGCACCCCCCACTACAAGGGACATATCGGTAAGGAGTGCGACAAGGATAGTACTTATATACTGAGCTTTGGGTGACGGGAAGACGCTAGTTTGAGTCCTCCCGTTACCCTTAGGAGAACTATGGGGAAAAGCCCTAAACTCCATAGTTCTCCTTTTAAACTCTGTGTTCATAACAAACAATCATATTATTTCTTTAATTTTCTATTTTTCACTGGAATGATAAGGGCACCGCGGGCACTTTCCTTTTTAGATGGTTTGGTTGGCTGAGATCTGCTGCTCTGTGGTTTTTGGGGACCTTCTCCGGTTGCAGTATTGGCTTAAAAACCAGACCGCGCTGTGTTTCCTGTGCAGGCTTTCGGTGTCGGGGCTCTGGAGGATGACGACGACGACATATATGGCACGGACTCCCTGTCCAAGTATGACACGGTCCTCAGAGAGGAGGAGAGCGGGGACGGCCTTTATGGGTGGACTGCACCAAAAGAATATAAACACAAGAAAGGTAAAGGTTGATAAAATGCAGCTGGCGTTCACCGTGAAATGATGGCGTGTTTTCAGCACCTTTTCATGTTAATACATTTGTGATCCAAAGAATGCATTGCAGTTGATCAGTTAAAATGACCAAAAGTCATCGGCTTTAAATTTCACTTTGAGGATATAATTGAATTCAGGTTTTTTTTGCCTGGAGTTTAGGTTTTAAAATGCCTAACATATTAATTTTAAAGTGTAAATCCCACCAATGAACTTTTCTTATTTGCTCCTTTTTTGGTCTGTTAAATATACCATTGAAAGCTGATAAACTTCCTGTGCCCTCTGCGTCTGCTGAGCTACAGGGCTACAGAACACCTTACGCTATGTTATGGAGGTGAATAGAAGTGTTCTGTAGTCTTGTCCTAAAGTGACTACACTACTCCTCCATATATGCATCTAGGAGGAGTAGCGGTGTTGTCCCTCTGTAGTATACAGATCATTCACCAGACTCTTCCTTCCCCTGTATATAGGAGGAGTAGCGGTATTGTCCCTCTGTAGTATACAGATCATTCACCAGACTCTTCCTTCCCCTGTATATAGGAGGAGTAGCGGTATTGTCCCTCTGTAGTATACAGATCATTCACCAGGCTCTTCCTCCCCCTGTATAAAGGAGGAGTAGCGGTATTGTCCCTCTGTAGTATACAGATCATTCACCAGGCTCTTCCTCCCCCTGTATATAGGAGGAGTAGCGGTATTGTCCCTCTGTAGTATACAGATCATTCACCGGGCTCCCCCTGTCTTTGTGTTACCTGTACTCACTCTTGCAAGCAGATCTGTCTCCGCTCGGTGCCAGGCGCTTGTATCAAGAGAGGTGTGCCCATTGTTGTGTTTTGTTTGCGTAACTGTGGGCAGCAGCTCCTATTTACCTCTTCACTCTCTCTATAAAACACTTACGTTGGTTTAACCCTCTCCATGCTGCTCGGTGCACATTGTAGAAAATCACGGCTGCAATTACCTCCGTTTGTTATTTCATGTCATTTATTTTCTGATTTATAGAGGACAAAAATAGCCTGCAGCGCTTCAGAGAGTACACGTAGATCATTTCCATCAGACTTTTGTCCCAAGGGACCTCACAGTTCTCCAAACACACAAATACACTCTCACCCCGGGGACGGTTCTGGTAGGATGCCAGCTATCAACCACAGTGGCTTTGGGAGGAAACAGAGGAAACTCACACAAACAAAAGAACAAACACCATACAGGTAGCTGGAAGAGGTTAGGGTATATCCCAACCCAAGAACAAAAATGTAATATATTTCAGCTTTCCAGTCCGTAGATGTGGCGGCTGCATTAGGTTTTTTTTTTTTTTTGTTTCCATTTTTTTCCCCTGGTGATCCCGCCAGTAACAGACTTCCTGTCCTAGGGTGACAACACTCGCAGTGCAGTTTTTATGGAGGAGCAGTGTTGTTACCCTTGAACAGGAAGTGTGCTAGCACCTCCCCTTCTGCTCTCCTCAATAGCATGGAGAGGTGTATTCAGAGCTGATAACACTGCAGACCAAAGGGAAGCAAATGGTGTTAGGGTTTGCATATGCTTGATCTGGGACTGCAGTGCTGCAAGACAGAATTGATAACCACTTTGCCACCATGCTGCCATTTAAATTTATACTCCATTTAAAGTAGGGATGCACCGATACTAGTATCGGTATCCATGCAGATACCGAGTATTTGAGCGAGTACGAGTACTCGCCCAAATGCTTCTGATACCTTCCCCGATACCGGATCTTCCGGTCAGAGGAAGATTTCCTCTGACCAGCAGTACCGTAGGGGAACATGGAACCAGCTTCCCTGGCAATCGGGAAGCCGGGTGACGAGTAATGACCCGCCTCCCGGCTTCCTTATTGGCCGAACAACCGGCTCCTTGCTTATTGCTCCATGTTGTTTGGCCGGCTCGATTGTGATTGGCAGGGAAAACGGTTTCCCGGCCAATCACAATCAAGCCGGTCAAACAGCATGGAGCAATCCGGAAGCCAGGCGGCATGTTTTTGCTCGCTGCCCGGCTTCCTGATTGCCCGGGAAACCGGCTCCATGCCAGCGGAAGCACCAGTATCGGTACTCTGTATCGGCGACTACCAAAGCAAAATATCGGTACTCGCTACCGAAAAACCGGTATCTGTGCATCCCTAATTTAAAGTGTGCCTGTGACTTTTTATACCTGCTCCCAGCTGTACCCTCATGTGCATACCTGTAGCATCTCCCCTTGTGTCTGCAATGGCCAGACGCTGGGCTCTGTTCTGAAAAGTGAAAGCTCCGCTTTACAAAACACTTTTCTGAATGATCCTTCGAGGAACTGAGCTCTGGAAGACGAGGGCAAAGGACTGGTCACCAGTATTGCCCGTAGGCTCCCTGCAGCCGATCTTGACCCCTTAACTGACTTAGTGTGCACAGCTCCTAATTAAGGAAGACGCTTCTTCTGGCAAGATCCTGGGGAATACAGAGAAACCAAAATCTTGTGCGAAGATGCTCTTGCAATGGGCTGGAGTGTCTCCTCGCTCTGCGTTCCCCAGGTATCTTCCCGGAAGGGCAGCGACATCACGTCCAGCGATGCAGAAGACGGGGTAAGGTAAGTAGTGTAAAGGGAGAGGGGTCCCGGGCATTTTAAAGGGACCTTGCGTTTTAGTCTGCTGTAACTTGCAGTGATATTATAATAAATGTACAGCTGTCCTTTTTTAAAGTTTATTGCGTAATGCCAGTTATCTGTGATCACATTGTGTGAACCGCCGTGTCGTCTTTTCAGGGTCTTCCAAAGAACTTCAATATATCGGCAAAGTCTTAGAGGGCTTCTCTATAGCGACACAACCGGCTTCGCTGAAAAAGGTAAAATATGTCTTCCATCGTCCTTTTTTTAATTTTTTTTATTTATAAGTTGTTTTGAGATCGATCGGTTTAGGCTGAGCTGGCAGCTGTCCTAAATGTTTTGTAATTCTGCTTAATGAAGGTGTAATAAAACTTTGGCAGGATCCAGTAATGCAATAAACGTTCTTCTGGCTTGTGATATAACAGTAACCTTAATGCCAAACGATACAGCGCAAGAGAGAGAGAGAGGGAGGAAAAGAGGTGGGGGGGGAGTTAAAGGAGAACTATGGGGTCAGGGCTTTTCCCCATAGTTCTCCTCAGGGTAACGGGAGGACAAGACACCTCATAGTTCTCCTTTTTTTTAAAGGGTTTCATTTAGGGAATATTGAGCTAAGTGAAGACAGACACGGTGAAGAGTCTGGAGAAGGCAGGAGAAGGGAACAATCTAAGCCAAAATAGCTGATTTGGCAATATTCTCCAATTCAGCTCACTTTCCAGTTCAGCTCTGTTGTCCTAGATTGCTCCCTTCTCCGGCCTTCTCCAAACTCTTCACCCTTTTGTGAATAACCCTGAAAAAGTAAAACCATACAGGATTCCAAAAGACAAAATGGCAGCTTAATGGGGTAAGTACACTTGTAGTACACTTCTCTTTAAAGGAGAATTATGAGGCGAGTAATTTTCACTCATCCTCATAGTTCGAGTCGACGTGTGACAATGAGACTGTCACACGTCGGCTCAATAGATCGGGAAGTGAGCGAACACATACCGTAGCTCGCTCACTTCTCAATCATCTCCCCGCAGAGAGCTGTGTCACTCACGGCTCCCTGCAGGGATTCCCCCCGCTCCGATCCTCCAGCGCTGACTGGCGGAACAGACGGGGAGGGGGCGGGTACAGCTGGCTCTGCCTCTAGATAGGCAGAGCCAGCTGTCACTCACGCAGCTGGGTGGATCTCGACAGTAATGTGGGGGATCCGTCCCGGCTGTGGCGGTCTCAGTATACTGCGAGCTGTAGCTCGCGGTATACTGAGCTTTGGGTGACGGGAGGACGCTATTTTATGTCCTCTCGTGACCCTGCGGAGAACTATGGGGAAAAACACTGACCCCATAGTTCTCCTTTTTAAAGGGCCCCTGATTGGGTGGAGGCTCTTTAAAGAGAAGTGTGCCAGGCTGGCAGCACATAGAAATTCCCGGAGGGGGGCCCACTAATGGAGTAAACTCTGAGTGCACTTTAATCTCGGGAGATACTGATGGAGTGCACTTTAATCTCGGGAGATACTAATGGAGTGCACTTTAATCTCGGGAGATGCCGATAGAATAAACATTGTGAAATATTTCAGTTGCTTTAGCGATGGAAGTTTAGCAAAGATCAACTTAAATGTAGAAATCAATATCTCAATCTAAAATGACTTTTGTACCTGAAATGTAACCTCATACAGTATTAACTACCTATAGTATCCTGCTTACTGCTAGTCAAGCTAGCATTGAGCCAATCAGGCTCCTTCATTCTGCCCAGTGCTGCCATTCTAACATGTTTCAGGCTTTAGAACCGGGAAAGGGAAGGGTTTAGTTTACTGGAGGAGGAGGAGGAGGAGGATATGTGGTGATGAGTTGAAGGGGTGTGCAAATCATTCTGTCAAGTAACACACTTCATATGAATGTTTTCAGTCTGCTTATCTAGAATTCTGTGTCCTAGATAGTACTTAAGTTCCTGTGTTTAGATTTCCCCTTCCTTCCTGTTCTGTCTGACCCATGTGACCTGGACAGGAAGTGTTTGGGAAGTACTCCATTAAGGGAACATAAAAATGAGCTGAAACATTACTAAGGTTCTAAAACAGGGTAGGCAACCTCGTCATGCTGGCTGTTGTGGAACTACAAGTCCCATGAGGAATTGCCAAACTCTTGACAGCCATGGCTCCCAGAGGCAGAGACATGATGAGACTTGTAGTTTCACGGCAGCTGGATTGCCAAGGATGCCTGCGCCTTCTCTAACCTTTCCCCACTCTACTAAAGCATTGCATTTATTGCTGTCTGAGGGATGTCACCTCACTTCCTGTTCTGGATATCTTGCCAGGTTTTTATTACTGTTTGTGAGCCCACTGGAGAGATTTCCACTCACTTCCTGTCCCTGAGACACCCATACAAAAAATAGGGGGAGAGGTTGTCACCGGGACAAGGAGTCACAGACAGCAATAAAAACCTTGTCTGACATTCTAACCCTTTTGCATGCTACTAAATGTGCGGAACAATATAAAGGTGTTAAAACAGAAATTCTGACACTGAGTACTATACAGCTAACAAAATAAAATATCTTGGCGACGGCGGTCTAATAATTGAAATATTTTGGAATGTTCGCAGATCTATCCGGCACCTGAGCTCCCAAGGGATTACAGGCCGGTGCATTACTTCAGACCTGTGCTGAATGCAGCCAGCCAGACTTCTGCCACTTTGCAGGCCCTCCTGGCATCTTCCCAGAACCCCGCAGCCGAGCCAAAGCAAGAACCGCTGCCAAGCAGACACCAGCTCCGCTCTTCCCAGAGAAGGGAGATGCTGGGGGAGGAGGCACTAAAGGGTGAGCGACCTCTGCTGTTGTTTCCTTCATTTATTTTCATTTTCTTTAGCGCTTTTCTCCCTGCGCAGGAGCTCAGAGGGTACGGCGGCCATCTTGGGTGTGCTTAGTTGATCCAATTAACCTAGCAATATGTCGTTGGAGTGTGGGAGGAAATTGGAGTACCATGCAAGCACAGGGAGAACCTTAAAACTCCATGCAGATAGCATTCTGGTCAAGATTTTAATCCAGGACCCTAGTGATGCAAGGCAGAAGTGCCGACCACTATGCCACTATTTTTAGGAGAAAGTTGTCACCTGCGCATCAGTTGCCACCCATGCACCATTGGTGTTTTAAGTGGAATATTTGGGAGCTCTTAGTGGTTATCAGCAACATGCAGCTACTGCCTTGTTTTGATGTATTTGTGTTAAACTTCTGATGAGGACAAATACTTCCCAGATCAAGAGGGTTTGGTCGTCTCTGTTATGATTGAAACCAGGCTGCAAGGTATAGGAACATCAGGCAGAATCGTGCTCCGCAATGGTCAGGCTGCAAGGTATAGGAACGTCAGGCAGAATCGTACTCCGCAATGGTCAGGCTGCAAGGTATAGGAACGTCAGGCAGAATCGTACTCCGCAATGGTCAGGCTGCAAGGTATAGGAACGTCAGGCAGAATCGTACTCCGCAATGGTCAGGCTGCAAGGTATAGGAACGTCAGGCAGAATCGTACTCCGCAATGGTCAGGCTGCAAGGTATAGGAACGTCAGGCAGAATCGTACTCCGCAATGGTCAGGCTGCAAGGTATAGGAACGTCAGGCAGAATCGTACTCCGCAATGGTCAGGCTGCAAGGTATAGGAACGTCAGGCAGAATCGTACTCCGCAATGGTCAGGCTGCAAGGTATAGGAACGTCAGGCAGAATCGTACTCCGCAATGGTCAGGCTGCAAGGTATAGGAACGTCAGGCAGAATCGTACTCCGCAATGGTCAGGCTGCAAGGTATAGGAACGTCAGGCAGAATCGTACTCCGCAATGGTCAGGCTGCAAGGTATAGGAACGTCAGGCAGAATCGTACTCCGCAATGGTCAGGCTGCAAGGTATAGGAACGTCAGGCAGAATCGTACTCCGCAATGGTCAGGCTGCAAGGTATAGGAACGTCAGGCAGAATCGTACTCCGCAATGGTCAGGCTGCAAGGTATAGGAACGTCAGGCAGAATCGTACTCCGCAATGGTCAGGCTGCAAGGTATAGGAACGTCAGGCAGAATCGTACTCCGCAATGGTCAGGCTGCAAGGTATAGGAACGTCAGGCAGAATCGTACTCCGCAATGGTCAGGCTGCAAGGTATAGGAACGTCAGGCAGAATCGTACTCCGCAATGGTCAGGCTGCAAGGTATAGGAACGTCAGGCAGAATCGTACTCCGCAATGGTCAGGCTGCAAGGTATAGGAACGTCAGGCAGAATCGTACTCCGCAATGGTCAGGCTGCAAGGTATAGGAACGTCAGGCAGAATCGTACTCCGCAATGGTCAGGCTGCAAGGTATAGGAACGTCAGGCAGAATCGTACTCCGCAATGGTCAGGCTGCAAGGTATAGGAACGTCAGGCAGAATCGTACTCCGCAATGGTCAGGCTGCAAGGTATAGGAACGTCAGGCAGAATCGTACTCCGCAATGGTCAGGCTGCAAGGTATAGGAACGTCAGGCAGAATCGTACTCCGCAATGGTCAGGCTGCAAGGTATAGGAACGTCAGGCAGAATCGTACTCCGCAATGGTCAGGCTGCAAGGTATAGGAACGTCAGGCAGAATCGTACTCCGCAATGGTCAGGCTGCAAGGTATAGGAACGTCAGGCAGAATCGTACTCCGCAATGGTCAGGCAGCAAGGTATAGGCACATCGGGCAGAATCGTGCTCGGCAGTGGTCAGGCAGCAAGGTATAGGAACATCGGGCAGAATCGTGCTCCGCAATGGTCAGGCAGCAAAGTATAGGAACATCGGGCAGAACCCTGCTCAGCAATGGTCAGGCAGCAAGGTATAGGCACATCGGGCAGAATCGTGCTCGGCAGTGGTCAGGCAGCAAGGTATAGGCACATCGGGCAGAATCGTGCTCGGCAGTGGTCAGGCAGCAAGGTATAGGCACATCGGGCAGAATCGTGCTCGGCAGTGGTCAGGCAGCAAGGTATAGGCACATCGGGCAGAATCGTGCTCGGCAGTGGTCAGGCAGCAAGGTATAGGCACATCGGGCAGAATCGTGCTCGGCAGTGGTCAGGCAGCAAGGTATAGGCACATCGGGCAGAATCGTGCTCGGCAGTGGTCAGGCAGCAAGGTATAGGCACATCGGGCAGAATCGTGCTCGGCAGTGGTCAGGCAGCAAGGTATAGGCACATCGGGCAGAATCGTGCTCGGCAGTGGTCAGGCAGCAAGGTATAGGCACATCGGGCAGAATCGTGCTCGGCAGTGGTCAGGCAGCAAGGTATAGGCACATCGGGCAGAATCGTGCTCGGCAGTGGTCAGGCAGCAAGGTATAGGCACATCGGGCAGAATCGTGCTCGGCAGTGGTCAGGCAGCAAGGTATAGGCACATCGGGCAGAATCGTGCTCGGCAGTGGTCAGGCAGCAAGGTATAGGCACATCGGGCAGAATCGTGCTCGGCAGTGGTCAGGCAGCAAGGTATAGGCACATCGGGCAGAATCGTGCTCGGCAGTGGTCAGGCAGCAAGGTATAGGCACATCGGGCAGAATCGTGCTCGGCAGTGGTCAGGCAGCAAGGTATAGGCACATCGGGCAGAATCGTGCTCGGCAGTGGTCAGGCAGCAAGGTATAGGCACATCGGGCAGAATCGTGCTCGGCAGTGGTCAGGCAGCAAGGTATAGGCACATCGGGCAGAATCGTGCTCGGCAGTGGTCAGGCAGCAAGGTATAGGCACATCGGGCAGAATCGTGCTCGGCAGTGGTCAGGCAGCAAGGTATAGGCACATCGGGCAGAATCGTGCTCGGCAGTGGTCAGGCAGCAAGGTATAGGCACATCGGGCAGAATCGTGCTCGGCAGTGGTCAGGCAGCAAGGTATAGGCACATCGGGCAGAATCGTGCTCGGCAGTGGTCAGGCAGCAAGGTATAGGCACATCGGGCAGAATCGTGCTCGGCAGTGGTCAGGCAGCAAGGTATAGGCACATCGGGCAGAATCGTGCTCGGCAGTGGTCAGGCAGCAAGGTATAGGCACATCGGGCAGAATCGTGCTCGGCAGTGGTCAGGCAGCAAGGTATAGGCACATCGGGCAGAATCGTGCTCGGCAGTGGTCAGGCAGCAAGGTATAGGCACATCGGGCAGAATCGTGCTCGGCAGTGGTCAGGCAGCAAGGTATAGGCACATCGGGCAGAATCGTGCTCGGCAGTGGTCAGGCAGCAAGGTATAGGCACATCGGGCAGAATCGTGCTCGGCAGTGGTCAGGCAGCAAGGTATAGGCACATCGGGCAGAATCGTGCTCGGCAGTGGTCAGGCAGCAAGGTATAGGCACATCGGGCAGAATCGTGCTCGGCAGTGGTCAGGCAGCAAGGTATAGGCACATCGGGCAGAATCGTGCTCGGCAGTGGTCAGGCAGCAAGGTATAGGCACATCGGGCAGAATCGTGCTCGGCAGTGGTCAGGCAGCAAGGTATAGGCACATCGGGCAGAATCGTGCTCGGCAGTGGTCAGGCAGCAAGGTATAGGCACATCGGGCAGAATCGTGCTCGGCAGTGGTCAGGCAGCAAGGTATAGGCACATCGGGCAGAATCGTGCTCGGCAGTGGTCAGGCAGCAAGGTATAGGCACATCGGGCAGAATCGTGCTCGGCAGTGGTCAGGCAGCAAGGTATAGGCACATCGGGCAGAATCGTGCTCGGCAGTGGTCAGGCAGCAAGGTATAGGCACATCGGGCAGAATCGTGCTCGGCAGTGGTCAGGCAGCAAGGTATAGGCACATCGGGCAGAATCGTGCTCGGCAGTGGTCAGGCAGCAAGGTATAGGCACATCGGGCAGAATCGTGCTCGGCAGTGGTCAGGCAGCAAGGTATAGGCACATCGGGCAGAATCGTGCTCGGCAGTGGTCAGGCAGCAAGGTATAGGCACATCGGGCAGAATCGTGCTCGGCAGTGGTCAGGCAGCAAGGTATAGGCACATCGGGCAGAATCGTGCTCGGCAGTGGTCAGGCAGCAAGGTATAGGCACATCGGGCAGAATCGTGCTCGGCAGTGGTCAGGCAGCAAGGTATAGGCACATCGGGCAGAATCGTGCTCGGCAGTGGTCAGGCAGCAAGGTATAGGCACATCGGGCAGAATCGTGCTCGGCAGTGGTCAGGCAGCAAGGTATAGGCACATCGGGCAGAATCGTGCTCCGCAATGGTCAGGCTGCAAGGTATAGGAACATCAGGCAGAATTGTGCTCGGCAGTGGTCAGGCAGCAAGGTATAGGAACATGAGGCAGAATCATGCTCCGCAATGGTCAGGCAGCAAGGTATAGGAACATGAGGCAGAATCGTGCTCCGCAATGGTCAGGCAGCAAAGTATAGGAACATCAGGCAGAACCCTGCTCAGCAATGGTCAGGCTGCAAGGTATAGGAACATCAGGCAGAATACTGCTCAGCAATGGTCAGGCAGCAAAGTATAGGAACATCAGGCAGAATACTGCTCCGCAATGGTCAGGCAGCAAGGTATAGGAACATCAGGCAGAATACTGCTCAGCAATGGTCAGGCAGCAAAGTATAGGAACATCAGGCAGAATCATGCTTGGCAATTGTCAGGCCGCAAGGTATAGGAACATCAGGCAGATTCGTGTTCAGCTGTAGTATGTTAGGAAGGAACAAGAACTGCAGATGACCTCCCTGACATGCCATGTAATGTGATTATATTCTTAGGTCCAACCTCCGTCCTGGAGCTCCTCTCCGACAAAGACCGGGAACGGATCAAAGACGTAAAACAGACCATAGAGGAGCAGAGGCTGAAAGCTCAGAAACTCGCACAGGAAGCTATAAAGAACCGTTTCCAGGCTGCGTCCGCGGATGAGGCACACAACAGGCTGCAGGATGAGCTTCTTGACCGCCGGCTGGTCCCGCCAAACGCAGAAGAATTCCGACCCTTCGAGAACAATGCGGAAAAACAGAAAAGATATGAAGTATACATCCGTAAACTGCATGACGGACAGAAAGGTAACAGTTGTAGACTGACACGATGTGCTGTTTGCTCCCCGTCTCACCACAGTGGGAGGAGCTTTTCTAGGCTCAGAGTTCAGGCACAGTCCAGGCTTTTGTTTTTAGGAGCTGAGCCTTGAGAAGTACTTGTGTGTATGCATAGTAGGGGGCGGGTAGGTTATGATAACGCCCACAATGGGGAATTATGTTCCTAAGTTGTCTGCTGCAGTTTTGACAGCGAAGTTCCTGTTGGGAGCCAACCATCGCATCAGGGCTGGGCATGGCACCTAAACTGAGATACAGGCACAGCGTCCTTTTATTTTCAGCAGCAATTCCAGGGACACTAACACAGCATGGCTGGGTGGGGGCCGTGGCCACAAAGTTGACTATGGGTGATGCAGACATGCCGTGCATGCCGGTAACTCTTAGCAGCCATTCAAGGAACATTAAAAACTGCCCGGTCCAGCATGGATCTGCTTCTATGCTTGGCATGGTCAGATTGCCATAGGGGGACTTTGCTATAAAAAGAATACAAGCTACATTTTCATACATCTACCTGGACACACAATCGCATACATGAGATAATACATTTTGGGGTATCCTATGCTTTAAGCCAAGTTTGATCGGTAGCTGTCGGGAAAGAATACCAGTTAGTGGGAGCACGTTGATGCACAAGTCCGTATGTCCGGTGTAAATGATAGACCGCTATCACTAAATTCTCATTGTTTCCCAGACGATCTGGAAAGTTGCCTGGACTCCAACATGACCGAATGGGAGCAATCTCGTGAGAGGGAAGAGTTCATGCGGTCTGCCATGTTGTACAAGCCGACCAATTCCTCTCTGTCCTCCCGATTCACCCGGGGAAAACATGAAGACAACTCAGACAGTGTGGAAGTTCCCAGAGATGAAGAGGTTCCTTCCTTACACATGTCTCTAATATTTGTACATGAATGTTGTTATCTTATAAGGCAGAGTGCAATAACCCTTTACTACTAATCCTCATCCACCCCGACTGCTTTATACTGGCAAATGATTGGCTGCTTTTGGTTCCTGCACTGTGCACAACACCATAAGCATGCACTGGGGCCCGAGACTGGGGGGGCCCAGTGAGGTGGCAGAATGACGGGGATGAAAACGAGGATTTCCTGTAATCTCCGCTCCCTCCACCCACTGACTTTGGAGAACATGCAGGTATCTGGGAACGGGGCGAGGTCCCCTCCAGGCACGGGTCGGGTCCTCCTCTCAGCAGAGATAGAGGTGTAACTCCACCCCCACGTGTATACTTACTGGGCCGGTCCAATAAAAAAATCTTTTATATTTCCCCGAAGCCCCTAAAAGTAAAGTAAGAAATAAAAATGTTTAATAAAAAATTAATTAATAAAAAAAAAAAAAATCTAAAAAAATTAAAAGTTTTTATAGAATATTTGAAAAATAAAAAACATTTTCGGTTTTTGCCTGACATATTTTTTTAATTTCGGTTTTAAAATTTCCATTTCGTTGCACCTCTTATTATTGATAATAATATATTTTTTGGGGACAATGTGGGCATTTAAAAATGACAAGAAAAATTCCTGGTATTCGTTAATCCCCTCTCACATGTTTTTCTGCTGCTCCCACAGAGCGATCTGAATGACAAGTCTGCGGCGGTGAAAATGAAAATGTTTGGGAGGCTGACCAGAGATCGGTTCGAATGGCACCCGGACAAACTGCTGTGTAAACGCTTCAACATCCCTGACCCTTATCCAGGGTAAGCTGCAGGAGAATGCCATTCATGGCGGAGCTGTGCAGGCCCAGACATGTCCAGCCGGTTCAGTTCCTAAAGCGGAGTAGTCACGCTGCCTGTTGGAGGCCTCAGATTCCACCGTGACCTCCACCTTACCCTCACGTACAGTCTGCCTTTTATAGCAATGTAAAACTTCAAGTTTCGTTTATTGACATGTCAGTTGTGAAAAGCAACAGCTCCTTATCTGAAAACCGTACCCTGCTTTTCAGGTTTATCTGTTTACACATCGGGTTTCATGCGAGCTTGTACACCGTTTTATTGTTTTCATTCTGTCTTCTCCCTTCCCAAAAATGTTAAAGCTGAACTCCGGCCTTCCCTTCAATCTTGCACAGTTATCCTGGCTCCTCTGCTGGACTGGAATGGCTTCCTCTGATTTCACTGCACAATGGGAGCGGCTTGTGGTTTGTACATAAATGTTGATAATTGCAGAAACGTCACCAGCACACCAAATCCCCATAGGATCAAAGTTTGTAGATTTATTGCAAACTCATGTCAGTTACACAAGTGCTTTTCGGGGGCCACACAGGGTCCCTTCATCGGGCATAGCAATGACCATTGCTATGCATTGCTATGCCTGTGTAACTGACATGAGTTTGCAATAAATCTACAAACTTTGATCCTATGAGGATTTGGTGTGCTGGTGACGTTTCTGCAATTATCTGTATTTGGCGGCGCCATTCGCAGTCATTCCAAGTACCCCTCCTCGATCACGGGGTCATACCGGTAAGGAGTGCAACTAGCCTTTTCCTTTTTTTTTTTTTCTTGTACATAAATGCAACACAACAAGTTGAAGGGGGCCCTTGGTGGTCATGTCACTGGTGAGATGTTGCAAGCAACAGGATTGCTTGTCTGGTGCTAGCGAGGAAGCGGCAACAGATCGAAATTTAGATTTTTGGCAGCAATGGAGAGTCT